CTCTAGGGAGATATCTTACAGCTTCACAATGCTCTAGGGAGATATCTTACAGCTTCACGATGTTCTAGGGAGATATCTTACAGTTTCACAATGCTCTAAGGAGATATCTTACAGCTTCACCTTGCTCTATGGAGATATCTTACAGCTTCATAATGCTCTAAGGAGATATCTTACAGCTTGCTTCACCTTGCTCTATGGAGATATCTTACAGCTTCATAATGCTCTAAGGAGATATCTTACAGCTTCACCTTGCTCTAGGGAGATATCTTACAGCTTCACAATGCTCTAGCGACTCTGCTTGGATGATGGGCTGCAGTTGCAATAGCTATAATAGGGATGCCGTTGTGGGAGATAATTACCGTAAGAGCAGATGGCGGAAGTCAAGACGTCCCCTTCACAACAATACTCTTGCAAGATGCTGGTGCAAGGTTGTGAGAGGGATGCTGCTGGAGATAGATTGGCGGGGGGAGGGGTGGTGGTTCCGGTGGTGGTGGTGGTAATGGTGGTGATGGTTGTGGTGGTGGTGGTAATGGTGGTGGTGGTGGTTGTGGTGGTGGTGGTGGTAGTGGTGGTGGTGCAGGACTCGCGGGAACACCTTCACACTCAGGACAACCTCTGGCAGTCGTGTGTCTTTTTCCCACAACGCTTGAGATTTTGGGCTGATTTTCCTTCATGTGTGCGACCGTTCTTGAGGCATGAACCTTCCGGGGAGGGGGGGGGGGCGTCACCCGGTGGTTCCCGGGTCTCCAGCTGAGTGCTTCATAGTCTCTGTTCGTCACCTGTGTCTTCAGCCCCCATCCAGAAAATATTGCATTCGTGATCATATCGTGTATTATTTTCCCACTACTGCAACTAAATCAGGCCGTTTCACTAACCCCCTTCTTTTATTTCTTCTGCTTTGTTGGTAACTCCATCAGCATTTGTGTATCATACCTTAAGGCTCTTCTTGGATATACTGTTTCCAGAAGTCTTAGAGCATTCTTGTCTATTTGTCTCTATTGGTTTAAGTTGTGGGTGATGGATGGGGTGCTGTGATGTCTTAGTTGCCATCTATAATCCTTATCATGTGAAGCTTCAATGTGTGGAAGTCACTCTTAGTGCACCTGAGGAAGTCAATGTAATGTATGTGTGGAAGACAACCTAGTGCAAGTGTGGTCGTCACTCAAATGGACACGTGGAAGTCAATGTCACTGAGGAAGTCCCCAGGCGAGCAGGGCGACGAGAGCGACCTTGCTCAAGCATCCATTCCTTTGAAGGATTTAACAGTCGACAATGACAGGGAGCAACTAACTGTACACGTAGAGTGGTGAAGAACCAGTCTGCCTGTGATCACGCTCCAGCTGACTGTTAGCGTCTTCGCTGGCTTTGTATGTTATGTTGGTTGGTTGCCACTTCCGATTGGCTGCTTCCGTGTTTGGACTGGGAACAACACGTCAACATAAAGGGAATAACATTTTTTTTTTTTTTTAGAATTTCTATATTTCTTTCTCTGCAATACTTTTTATTGTTTTTCCTTTGCGTTTCTGTTTCCTAAAGATGATTTTATCAACTTTAACGAATTGTGTATTGAAATAGGTTTTTTTCTCGTATAGAACCGGTGTGTGTATAGTTAAGTAGGATAGGTAGGTTAGGCGTTTAGATTCAGTTAACAATTATCTGCATTTGAAGTGGGTTAACAATAACAGAGTTGTGAGCGAAGCACTGATCAAGAAATGTTCGAACGTCATCAGTTGTGAGTCGCATGTGAAATGTTTTTCATTCATAAACAGGGGGGGGGGGTTTGGGGGGTGGACTAACGAGCATTTGAGCTTGTTACAACCCGACCTCATCAACAAAGGCCAAATGCTCGTTAATCTAGTCGCCAAACCCCTTGTTAATGAATGAAAAACGGTTTTCACATGACACACAACTGATGACGTGCGCACTCTGCTCGAACAGTGCTTCCTTCGCGACCTCTCACCGAATCGCAACGCTCTGAATCCTGCGCTCACCTACTTCAAATATATATAATTGCCAACTGAATATAAACATCTATTACGGGCTATTCATGCCCGTGCCATCTCTTGGGTGGCTTAATCTTTATCAATCAATCATTCATAAACATCTAACCTGTCGTAACTTACGTCTAATACATAAAAAAATTATATATACTAATATTTATGTATAAATAATATGGGTGGAGGATGGGTTGGACCTTAAGCTACAACTCGACCGTTGCTTGAGGACGAGCTAATTTACTGAGTGAAGAGGCTGTGTCCTTGACACTAACAATGGGGCAGATCACTACAGTGACAGCTAGACAGCTCTTGCCTTACAAAATAAGTATAGGAACGTTATTATTAATCATATCGAACTTTATGTTTAAGGAGAGAACGAGAACTCTTAGTCTACAAAAATCACATAGGAACGTGCTAAGAACGTCATAGGAACGTGCTAAGAACGTCATAGAAACGTGCTAAGAACGTCATAGGAACGTGAGCTATCGAGTCTCATTATACAATTCAGATGAGAGTGACATAATGGTGACTACAATGACCTTGACGGCCAGCCAGTCGAGCGCCCGTTAACACATAACCTAACAGGGCCCTGACTTCTTCAAACACTTACGACACCTGTATATCTTTTCTCAATCAAGGCGACTTTGTTGACATTTATCAAACTATCTGTGACCTCCGAAGCACTGCGAGGATTCTTACAACAATAATAAACTTGGGTTGTGAAGTTTCAAAGCTCGTAAACTGTTTAATAAAAGTAAACAAAGCCACCATAATTAAGGAAAGATGTACAGGTTCCGTAGGCGGCTGAGTAAATGCATAATGAGTCTTGACCCAGTATTGTTCCCAAGTGTTCCAGTATTTTATAACTTGAGTTAATAGCTAAGTTCTACGAATCAAGTAGCTATTTACTGAGCCAAGAGGCACCAATATCATTGATGTTGACCAGACCACACACTAGAAGGTGAAGGGACGACGACGTTTCGGTCCGTCCTGGACCATTCTCAAGTCCAGGACGGACCGAAACGTCGTCGTCCCTTCACCTTCTAGTGTGTGGTCTGGTCAACTTACTTTAGCCACGTTATTGTGACTCATCGCCTGCACCAATATCATTCATGGATACAATGAGCCACATAGTAGAGATGACCAAAGCACACTTCAGTAGCTGGAGAAGCGACAACGTTTCGGTCCATCCTGGACCATTATCACACCACTTGATAATGATCGAGGACGGACCGAAACGTCGCCGTCTCTTCATCTTCTGATGTGTGGTTTGGTCATCATATCTTCATCCACGTCATTGTAACTCATCATTTGCATAGACTAGGGAGATCTTGTAGGTAAATGAGCGCAGTACCCTACAAATGTGTGTTCCTATGGCCGTCATCTCTCTACGCAAAACATTTAGCTTTATTTAACCACGTTTCTTACGACTATAAAAATCTGTAGAAGGAAATAAGAAATAATAAGAAGGAAACTAAGAAAACGTATAAGATAGCGTCAAGAATTTAATAAACAACACTAAAAGAGAGACAATCATGCTACAACATATCAAGTCTTTCTTTACTAACAGCAAAGCAAATACTGTATTTCTCATTCCTTGGAGGCGACGTGGTCACCAAGGCTGCTATACGCAATCACCTTCTTAGTCAGCCTCACGCGTCTCGGAGACAGCCGGGCATTGATCTTAGTAAAGCATGTACATGAGGACACCTTTGCCAGATTAAACAAGTTCACAAGCTGCTATCTGCTACTGGACGAACAGATGCACTAGGTCAAATAAAACGTGCCCAACCGTTGCTGTCATGGCCGGGGATTGAACCCGTATCCATCAGTTGTGTGCCGAGGGCGTGGACCACTGTGCTACGTGAACACACAAGAGAGAGAGTGGTGCACAAATCAAGTGGAACAACACCAAGATGAAAGTCTCCGGAAAATCACTGGTGGAAACAAAAACTCCAGAATCAAGTATAACAACATTTCACACAGCGACTAAACAATAGCTCACTGCTGTATGCACAAGACTCAGCTATTGTGGCAAACAATACACCAATTGTTAATTGTTATTAGTATTGTCTTCGTGAGCATCTAGCTCCCGACACACTGTAAACAAAGGTCAAATTGTATGGGTTTATTTAGTGATCATTTTCTGTATTTAAACAAAATTGTTGGTGAATATTTTAATCTTTTGTAGATAAACAGAAATATTTATAGGAAAGATTCTGGTAATTTAAGTAAATTACATTTTTACTCCTATAATAAAGATCGTTGACTGGTTATGAAGTGGTGGTGGAGGTCTAGAGACCTGGTGGTAGTTGTGGTGGTGATGGTGGTGGTGGTGGTGGTGGTGACCTAGTGGACCCACTGATGGGGGGAAGACACAGCCTCTCCCGTCAGTAAACACCCACAAACACCAAAACGAAACTAAAGAGGTAAAAAATCTATATATCCACTTACCATGAGAGCTTCAGACACTTGGCCAGGAACCTGATGAGTCGCTCCATGCCGCCAACAGGGCCACAGAGGACCACAGAGGGCCACAGAGAGCCAAAGACAGTCAATTGTAGCAGTCCCCGAGGCAATGATAATCCATGCTCTCTCTGTAGCACATGTTCTATTGGCGGGTACTTATTTACTTTTCAATTATGATGCACTTAAACATATGTACATAAGTGCGTGTTTATACATATTTTCCTGGATTTTGTTATTATAGATACATGTATTTAATTAATTAACTTATTAATTGATTGAATATAATTTGTATGTTTCAGTGTTGATTCTTAACAATTTGCTTGGTCATTATGTCTACGGCTCTCACACACTCACACACTTAAATGACACTAAAGGTCTGGCTTTACAACGCACTCGAGACACACTAGTGGGTAAGGTCTGACTTTACAATACACTTGAGTGTGACTAAATATTGGTTACCCGGAAGATTTATTTCCTCTGCAAGAGTTTAGAGTGCTGAGGCCAGGCTTCCTCCATGGTATCTTAGTTTCTTCACTAAATGACTGCTTGAGCCTTATTGTCAATCTTTCCTGGTCTGAAAATAGTGGACATTGAGCATTTACACCTGTTTACAAATTGACGTATGATTTTCAGCCGTATATATATATATATATACAAAAATACAGTATAATCTTATTTACAAATAAAATATAAAAAATTAACAATACAGTAGTATTTTAAGAATTTAATAAATAACATTATGCTAACACATTTACTATTATTAATTATTATGAACAGATTTACAAATGCAGCACACTTAATGTGCTGCATTTGTAAATCTGTAAATCTGCATTTGTTTGTATTAGAGCTGCGGCTCTAATACAAACCTATTGAGCTAAACACTATAATTCTAGATTTACACTTTATAAATACAGCAACTATAAGAGGTTTGGTGGAGGGTGTAGGTGTGTGGGGGTGTGGGTGTGTGTGTGTGTAGGTGTGTGTGTGTGTGTGTAGGTGTGTGTGTGTAGGTGTGTGTGTAGGTGTGTGTGTGTAGGTGTGTGTGTGTAGGTGTGGGTGTAGGTGTGGGTGTAGGTGTGGGGTGTGGGTGTAGGTGTAGCGGACACACCGAGCACAGTCCCACACCTCACACCGTTCTCTCGAGTTGCTACACCGTACAAAATGCAACACCTCTAACCTAACCAGCCACGTGCAAAACCTAAGCAACCCACCTAACCTAACAAACCCTAGTATAGAAAAAGTGGAATTTTTGTGAGTCCTTACGTATCATAGTACCTTGTAATTTGAGACTTAGTGATTGAGAGGACGGGGTGCGCATCCCCTGGTGTTAGACCAGAACTTATAAACCAAATAATGACTTACTAAAAGCCAGGTAAGTCAGTATGTGACTTAAGAGCTTAGGCTGCAGGACGGCTTGGCGGAAATGAGGTCAGCTTGAGGAGGACAGAAGGTCGACCAGTGTGACTTGGACCAAGGGGAGTGACGGCCTTGACAGCACCAATAATAGGACAGGTGGGAAAGAGGGGGAGAGAGGGGGGTGACACAGGAAGAGGGAGGGGGTGCTTGAGTAAGATGTAGAGTCAGTCTTGAGGTAGAGGCAAGGAAGGGGTGGTGGGTGAGGTAGTGGTAGAGAGGTATTGGTTGAGAGAGTACAGGTGGGGTAGTGGGCAGGGGGTAGTGGGGACGGTGGGGCGGGGATAGGACAGAGGGGAGGGGGGCGCAGGACGGGTAGTGACGCGGGCACCTGCCGCTAACGGTGCCTGGCCAACCCGTTTACACATAGGCTCCCTGCAGCCCCCCGCCCCCCAAGTGATGGGTACACCCGCTCCCAGTCCCACTGAGAAGACCCACTACACCTCACCCGCTCCCAGACCCACTGAGAAGACCCACTACACCTCACCCGCTCCCAGTCCCACTGAGAAGACCCACTACACCTCACCCGCTCCCAGTCCCACTGAGAAGACCCACTACACCTCCTCACCCGTTCCCAGTCCCACTGAGAAGACCAAACCCACACACACACAAGTAACCTGAAGCCAATAATTACAATATCCGTGGCTAATGCTTCCTGCTTGCCAAATTTTTTTGTCATTTGCCGTTTTTATTATCGCTTAAATATCCGGCAGCCATTAGTGGAGTGGTTAAGGTCAAGGGCTCCCAGGGAACAAGGTCTTTAGGGGCCCTAATAGTTATCCAACCCTCGGTGACGCGTCTGATTGGCTAGTTGAAGTTTTCTCCTAATTGCTGTGGTCTGATTGGCTGAGCTTGGATTTTTTAATTCAATTTATTTTGTTGGTGGATGTGGTCTCGTTTGTGTGAGCTACGAGAAGGGTGTGCTCTGGTGGTGTGTTCTGGAGAGGTGTGTTGTAGTGGTGTGCTGTAGAGTGTCGAGGAGGGTGATGGGGAGCGACACAGCCTCACTATGGCTGGTGATGCCCAGTGATCTGTGTCTGGTCTCCACGCTTCACAGCCGTGGTATTTTACCTCTTTGTTTCTGTCTCTTTCTCCTTGTCTTTCTTATTCTGTGTCTGGCATTACTGCTTCTCCCTTTCTCTCTCTCTCTCTGTCTCTCTCTCTGTCTGTCTCTCTCTGTTTCTGTCTCTCTCCGTCTCTCTCTCTTTCTCTCTGTTTCTGTCTCTCTCTCTCCGTCTCTCTCTCTCTCTCTCTCTGTCTGTCTGTCTCTCTCTCTCTCTCTCTCTGTCTCTCTCTCTCTCTCTCTCTCTCTCTCTCTCTCTCTCTCTCTCTCTCTCTCTCTCTCTCTCTCTCTCTCTCTCTCTCTCCGTCTCTCTATGATTGTATATATATTTAAGCACTAGGGTTGGGTCGTGTGTGTGTGTATTGCCTATTTATGTCTGTAGAATCGAGATACTAGCTCTTGGACCCCGCCTTTCTAACCTGTCTATTTCCCCCTATTATGTCTACTACATATATTTCTCTCTAACACACACACATTTCCACCAGGAAGCAGCCC